ATTTTGATCAATTATTTGAATTAAGGCACCCTGTTAACACTTACGCCTTACTTCCAGGGATATCCTAAAATGTATATGGCTTTGGCGTTTCTCCTTGCATCAACATAAGCTTGTAGCGGTATGCATTGCCCTGTTATTAAAAATTGTTAGTATGTCATGTGCCCAAGCTACCACCACCTACAGAATTTAACTGCACATTTGTGTCAACCAGTCTTAACTGCTTCCCATGATGGTAAGGCTTAGGAAGCCCAGCAACTGTTTTCCATATTAAGCAGTCAGGTTCCGTAGGAGCCTGTTGGACAACATTCAAATGCTTTATGTTTCAAAGCCCACCCAGCTAGTCACTATCCATCCATCCATGCATTCAGAATTATCTATCTCTTGTGTTCAACGTGCTATTGCTTAGTTTTTCAATTCATTTGCTTCTTGAACTTTGAAGAGGCATCACTTAATTCCAATAGTTTCTCCCCAACACTTTGTTTTGAGAAAAACTTAGGGTCTCCACAGACATTATATACGAGGAGTATATATAATGTACTTTGTCAGCAGACAAAGAGAACTTGTTGATTTTCTCTAATGCAACAAAACCTCAATCCAAACTAATTTACCAATTGGTATTTGATTTCTAAGATAAACATTTTCTTTTAAAAAAATTTAAATATGATCAAAGGCTGTGAAATCCCTAGAAATAAGTAATACCTGAGGACCAGAATAAGAAAAATTATTTGTTCTTATTCTCTCAGCTCAAGGCAATAAGAGGTGATTTTTGTCATCCAAATTTACATTTACACCAAAATGTCTTGTGATTATAAACTCTTTCAGGTTGTGTTGAATTAACTTGAGCAGCAGACTTTGAAGATGAATATGATGATATAAAAACATACAGGCCGAATTTTTTCATTGTCACTGAATGCTCTAAATGGTACAGCCTAGTGATTACAGGTGTGAGCTTTGGAGTTTAAATTCTGACCACATCATTTAGCTAAGCTGTAAAACTTCAGCAAGTTATTTAATGTCTCGAAGTTTCAGTTTATGCATCTGTAACCTAGGCATATTAATTCTTCTTTAACTGAATTGCTTTGAGGATTAAAAATACGTAATAGGTGCTTGGCACATAGTAAGTGCTTAATACAAAAGTATTATACTTTGCTTTTATTTCTCTTCTGATTTCCTTTCTTCCCAAATTAACCAAGCATTTTAAATAGAAGACTTACAAATTTGTTACTTACAAACATGAATTAGTAATATCTGATTTTAATCTTTATTGGGTATGGATTTTGCCTATCTGAATGAATCCCAGTATCTAGGAGACTCACAAAATTTCTAAATGAATTATATCAGCAGAAACACTCCAAGCTTGGGCTGAAAGGAACAAAGACAGTACAAAAGGAAAAGGGGCCTTTGGACCCCTAAAACTTCTACAAGAAGAAAGTAGTCTAAGAAAAACATGAAGTGGCAAACAGAGGCTACCTTTCAAGAGAAAGGAAGGATGATTCAGACAGTGGAACCAAGAACCTAGTGGGCAAAGCCAAGCACCAGGAAGGTTCACTCCTGGTAAACAGCAGGACTGAGTCCTAATCAAAAACTTCTAAACATTTGTCCAGATGGATTTCACAATTGCTTTGGACCGGTGACTCCTTCGTATTTCCCAATTTTCTCCTTTTTGAAGAGGAATGTCTACAGCAGTTACCTGTCCTGCCACTGGGGAGCAGGTAACATGAATCTTTACTTCACAGGTCAACAGGACCAGTACTTAAGGTTCTACACCCTGAGGAGGATCATCTGCAGCTGGGCCACATTTAGGTGATGAGATTCTGTATTCAAGGTAATGTTGTAATGGGAGAAGACTTTTTAGGAGGTGCTAGGAAAAGATGAGTGTATTTTGCATGTGGGAGGAAGAAAAATAAATTGTGGCAGGACAGACTGAGGTTCCTTTAAAATAAATTGTGACCTACCAGGGATGGTGGCACATACCTGTAGTCCCAGCCACTCAAGAGGCTGAGGCAAGAGGATCACTTGAGCACAGGATTTTGTGTGCTATGACTGTGCCTGTTAACAGCTACTGCACACTAGCCTGGGGCAACACAGGAAGACCCTGTCTCTAAATAAATAAATAGTAACCAGAGAGTGGACGATTCTCTCCTCAAAAGATGGAGCTTAATTTCTCTCCCCTGGAGCATGGGGAGAATTTAATGACATACTTCTAACTAAGAAGTATGGTACAAGTGATAGTGTGTGAGGTCTGAGATTAGGTCAAAAGCAGCATTGCAGGCTTCCCTCTCTTGGATCCTTGCTCTGGGGAAGAATATGCAAGCAGCTTTAGAAAAAGGTCCATGTGGCAAGGAAATGTGGGCTTTTGCCAACAGCCATGTGAGTGATCCATCTAAGAGTGGATCCTCCAGCTCCAGTAAAGCCTTCAAATGACAGCAGCCCTGGCTAACATACTGACTGCAGCTTCATCAGAGGACTTGAGCCAGAACAACTCAGCTAACCTGCTCCTGAATTTCTGACCCACAGAAATGGTGAGATAATGAATGCTTGTTGTGAGCTGCTAAGTTTTGGAATAATTTGTTATTTAGCAGCAGATAATACAAGCCACCAAGCATCATTTCCCTTGGTGAAGTTTCTGTTACATCAAAAGAAACGTAAAAGCCACTGTCCTAAAATAGGTAGGAAGACAAAATGTATACAATTTCTCAAGTCTTTCACAAACAAGATTTTAAATTCACTAGCAAAAATCTAGGAAAAAAAAAGATCAACTTTTAATTCTTTTAACCTCAGCCTTCTTTGTTCCACTCTGGGCAGAAAGTGATCATTCTTTTTAAGTGAATAGGGAAATGACAAACTATGTGTTTGCCTTTTCTCATTATTTGATTAAGTTCCCCAAGGCATGAGTAAAATTGTTACTTTTAAGCCAATTAAAAAATTGTAAGTGTAAAAAAATAATCTGCTTACATTATGTGCCTTTAGTTTAATGTGGAAACTATAAATCCGAAACCCGGCATAAAAAGGAGGTTTAGTACTTTTTTTCATTTAAACTTTACAGTTAGAATTCAGTGGTCCTCTTTGAGATACTCCCTAAAGAAATCTCAGTATTTAACAACCTTAACCAAAATTGAAACTTTATTCTTTTAGTTCCTATATGCTAATGACTGTTACAACAATCATTTTACAATCATCTGGTTGATAAGTTCTTCTTATATTTTTTTTTTTTGAGACAGGGTCTCGCTCTGTCATCCAGGTTGGAGTGCAGTGGTGTGATCATGGCTCATTGCAGCCTTGATCTCCTGGGCTCAAATAATCCTCTCACCTCAGCCTCCCAAGTATGAGATTACAGACTGGCACCACCATGCTCGACTAATTTTTTAATTTCTTGCAGAGACAGGGTCTCACTATGTTGCCCAGGCTGGTCTCAAACTCCTGGGCTCAAGCAATCCTCCCGCCTTGCCATCCTAAAGTGCTGGATTACAACAGGCATGAACCACCATTTACAGTCCAGTAAGTTAGTTCTTAAAAATGGAGCTTCTTTAGAGAAGGAAACAAATCTATTTTGAGCTAAATAATTATTGTGCTCTTCAAGTATTTATAAACACAGACACTCAAGTTTGCATAAAGTAAGGCGCTGAACATTTACTCTCTTCATGACTTTTCTGATGAATCTTTCCATTTGGAAAGAGTTTCTTTAAAGTGGGCAGTATACTTTTAAAATTACTCAAAGCTTGCATCGTTTTTATAACCTGTACTTCAATGCTTTCACCAAGGCCATTGGTAAGGGAGAATTAATTACCCAGAGTGGAATTCCCTTTTGGTTTTGGACTCACCTCTGAGACTACATTCACAAGGACACAACAAAAATGATTTACCAGGGCAGTTCTATGCCTTAGTGCTAATTTTGATACTCAAGTTGGAAACCTAATATAACCCTAACCTTGGCAACATGTGTCTATGTGCTGAACTCTGCCTTAGGGGTGCATGATCTTCATTATGCATAGAGTTATGAATTCATTTTGCATTTTAAATCAAAATATTCTTTCATTTTCCATCATGTATTAATATATTTCCACTAAGGTTTGGAAAGAAAACAGATCACTTGAATATGATTCACAAAGTCTGACTATGGCTGTGCAGACAGGAGTTTTAGCTTGGAATTTTTTTTTTTTTCTATTTTTTGAGACAAGGTCTCACTCTGTTGCCCAGGCTGGAATGCAGCGGCACAATCACGGCTCACTGCAGCCTTGACCTTCTTGATCACTTGATCACTCAAGTGATCCTCCTGCCTCATCCTCCCAGGAGTAGCTGGGACTACATGTGCACACCACCACACCCGGCTAATTTTTAAAATTTTTTGTAGAGACAGGACTCACTATGCTGCCTAGGCTGGTTTCAAACTCCTGTACTCAAGTGATCTTCTTGCGTTGGCTTCCCAAAGTGCTGGGATTACACACATGAGCCACTGAGTCTGGCTTGTAATCTACTTTTAATTTAGTTAATTTAGCGTGTATGCACATGTGTACCTGCAGTAGGCATATGTAATATTAGGCTGCCAAATTCACAGACTTCCTCAAAAACCTTAACTCTTCTCATGCCACTCTGAGTGTCAGGGAACCCAAAGGAAGAAGAAAATATGTGCATGGGATATGCCTAACTTATTTCTTGGTTCCCATGACTTAAGTCATGCCTTTCTTTCCTTTAGATATTCAGTCTAAATTGGGTGTCCTTAATTAAGTAAAATCCTTTATCCTCCTTTAATAAAGTGCTTTACCCAGAAAACACACAAAATTTAAACCACCAAATACAATACTAGTTTGTCGTTAAAGCTTTGCAAATCAAATACTCAAATTAGATGTCCATTTCTCCTTTGAAAGACTGGAAGCAACTGGTCACTCTTCTTCCACCCCTCTTTTATTTAACCTGAGGGTAGTTAAGAAACCTTCTGCCTTATCATACCTTATCATATTTCCAAAGAGGAAGAAAAATTACAGCCTTCTAATTCAACTCACAGGACTTTGCAGGATCTGAGTAACTCGCTTCCTCTGCTCCATCATATTGAAGTCTTGGCGTAGATCAGGAGACATGTTCCTCTCCCTAATGTATTCTGGGTCATTTTCATCGATGCGGTCAAAATACCTCTCTTTGTGAGGCATGCTGGGAGGAGGAGGAGTGGTAATCACGCCTTGGCTGGCATCTGAGCTCATGTTTCAAGTCTGGGATTACTCTTATCTGCATTAATAAACACAAAGAATGACATTCATGATTAAATCATTATTAAGTTCAAAATTTAGATGGGTCAAGCAGAACTTTTACATTTTGCCCTCAGAGTAACAGGTACCACTTTAAAAAGTAGCTTCTCAAAAAAATTAGAACAATTTTTTATTCATATAAAAAGATCTTAGATTATAATACTAAATTGGAAGTTGATATTTTCAGAGCAATGGAAACTTATGGTTCAATCATGTTAATGTCATCAACTGCTTTTTTATTTTTTTTGAGACGGAGTCTCTGTCACTGAGACTGGAGTGCAGTGGCACAATCTCAGTTCACTGCAACCTCCACCTCCCGGGTTCAAGTGATTCTCCTGCCTTATCCTCCCAAGTAGCTGGGACTACAGATGCGTGCTACCACGCCCAGCTAATTTTTCTATTTTTTTAGTAGAGACAGGGTTTCACCATATTGGCTAGGCTCGTCTCAAACTCCTGACCTTGTGATCTGCCCACCTCGGCCTCCCAAAGTGCTGGAATTACAGGCATCAGCCCTGAGCCCAGCTGGGCTGAAATGATCCTACTGCCTTGGCCTCCCAGTGATAGGATTACAGGCATGAGCATCCATGCCTGGCCCCCAACTCTTGTTTTTAATACCACATAGGCACAGGCATATTTTCTAAGTGTTTCAGAGTAATAGGAACTAGTACAAACCAGTATGAATAACATTAAGGAAAAAAATAGTCTTAACGTACTTTCAAAATGCTACAGAGAACAAATTTTTAAATAGTTATAAAACTTGTGAACACTAAGGGTTTCCCTCTGATGTAGCCTTTGCCCATGCAGATTAGCAACAAGGTATCAATGCATATACAAAATTCTAGTTTTAAAAATCTTATGCAAATAACAACTATCTAACATGCATGTTTAAAAAACATTAGGTTCAAGACACAAATAGATGAAACACTCTAGAATGGTGGCTTTCAAACATTTTATATTGGATTCACATACAAATATAAAAGATCTATAACTGAAATAAATTAATGACATCATATTTCCCTTTACTATGTGGTACATTCTGATATTTTCTATTTTAATCTATTCCATTTTAACAAATGCTGGTCAAACTGATTCATGACCCACTAATAGGCTGTGGCCCACAGTTTGAAAAACAATGCCCTAGAAACTCTAAGTTATGGTCAGGTAGGCAACAAGAAGAAGGGGTAGGATAGGTTAATTGAGAATGAATATATGCTAGAGTAAGAAATGATTCCTTGATTTTTTTTTGGAAGAAATATTTATTGCAGCTTATTACATATTTCTTTACATGTTAATATTTTAAAAATAGTACTCTTACAGTAAATCATAATTTTGCTTTTTTTTTTTTTTTTTTTTTTATTAATAGAGAGTTTAGGCTGGGTGTGGTGGCTCGTGACTATAAGTGCAGCATTATGGGAGCCTGAGGTGGGAGGATCACTTGAGCCCAGGAGTTCTGGACCAGCCTGGGCAACACAGTGAGACCCAGTTTCTACAAAAAAATTAAAAAAAAAAAAAAATAGCCAGGTGTGTCAGCATGCGCCTGTAGTCCTAGCTACTTAGGAGGTGGAGGTGGGAGGATTCCTTGAGCCCAGGAAGTTGACGCTGCAGTAAGTCTTGATCACACCACTGCATTCCAGTATGGATGATGGAGTGAGGAAAATAAGTTTCTGTATTCATGGAAAACTAGTTTACAATTTGCTTTGAGAAATATGGGTGTTAAAGGAACTTTAAGTAGCCAGTCACAGATAAAATGTTACAGCTATCTGCTTAGCTTAGATAGAAGGCTTTGCAAATAGCAAGTCTACCCATTTAAAACACGTGAATATCAGCATTGCAGAAAGATGAAAACAATTTCAAACTCTGAGGACATTATAAAGGGGTGTTTATGATTCTATGAATTACATATCTGAAAGCACATTTTTGGGGGAGGATTTTTGAAAATAAGCGCCTATAAGACAGATACTCTAAACACAGAGCCATTTAAAGATACTGCCAATGATTACATTTCTATTCATTCCCTCAGCTATCCAACCCCTAGTATTATTATTAACAGATAAGAATAATCTTTCTGCAATGTTTCAGTATATTCAACAATTTGAAAGCAGAACTACAGCAGACCAGGTTCCTCTGAATCAAATCAACTGACTGCCTTAAACTGAGGATCATTCTACAAAATAACTGGCCAGTGCTCTTCAATAATGTCAAGGTCATGAAAAATAAAGACTAAGGAACTGTTCCAGATTAAAGAAGACAAAGGACACTAAGACGTGACAATTAAATGCAACATGTAATCTTGGATCAGATCCTAGACCAGGAAAAAGGCATTAGTGAGACAATTGGTGAAATTTAAATAGAATCTGTAAATGTGATAATAGTATTTACATCAATGTTAATTTCCTGAAACTGATAATTGCAATATGGTTATGAAAGATATCATTTAGGGAATCTGGTTGAAGGACAAACAGCAATTCTTTAACTATTTTTGCCAACTCTTAATTTTAAGTCTGAAATAATTTCAAAACAAAGCAAAAAAAAATATCCAAAACACGTAAATAAACATTATTCCAACATAAGACAAATCCAGTATCAACACAGTCAAAGGAAAATATTAATACCACAATTTTCAGGCCCTCCTGAATTTTATAGTATACCATGTTATTTCCTTACTAAAGAATTTTTAAAGTTTGCTCACAGGTAAGACAGGATACAAAATACATTTACGAAAAGAAAGCCCACCCCCACACACAAAATGTCTCAAGAATTCTTCCATGCTTCCCTGTAATATAACCTTGCCACTTATTCCACTAAGAAGTAGAGACTATTTTTCTATCCCTTAAATCTGGTTTGGACTTGTGACTTGCTTTGACTAATGGAACGTAGCTGAAGTGACGTTATACAACTTCCAAGAGTATGCCTTTGAGGGTCATGGAGCTGCCACACCATGAAGAAGCCCATCATGAAAAATAAGGAGAAAGAGGCCCAGCTGTCCCCAGTAAGCCAGGTTCCCAGCAGACCCCATCAGCTAACTACAGCAACATGAATGAGTCCAGATAAAAGCAGGTGAGGTACTACTCAGCCAACATACAGAATCATGAGAAATAAATTGTTAAAGACACAAAGCTTTGTTTTATGTTTTACACAACAGATAACTAAAGTGAAAACTGATGTTACTGGTGCTGTAATAACAAAAACTGAAAACGTGGCATTAGCTTTGGGGCCTAGGCAGTGCGGACGCTTTTAGTGGAGGCTGACAAGGCAGTGAGGAGACTGCTACTGGAGGCTGGAAAAGGGGTTATATTGCTTCGTGAGAGCACAAACTAATAAGTGTGTTAATTTGAAAACTAGAAAACATGCTTAACAAATGTGGAGCTGGCTAAGATTTCTAGGCAGAATACTGAGTCAACAGATTTTTTTTTTTTTTTTCAAAAAAAGTTTTTAAAATGTAATCATTTATAGGAAATAATACAGACATCCCTTATGCCCTTTTCCCCAGTTTCTCCCAATGACAACACATTGCAAAACTGTATTACAGTATCACAACCAGGACACTGACAGTAATACAATCAAGGAGATGATTTCCAGTACCAGAAATACTCCTCATGCTGTCCTTTAATAGCAAGGCCCATTTCCACTCCCTCTTTAATCGGCAGCGACCACTAACCCATTGTCTATTTCTATAATTGTCATTTAAAGAATACAAATGAATATATGCAATACATAAAACCTTTGGGGATTGGCTTTTTTCACTCAGCATCATTTACTGAGGATTTACAGAGACTGTTATATCGATAATTTGTTCCCTTTTTTTGGTTTGAGATGGAGTCTTGCTCTGTAGCCCAGACTGGAGTGCAGCGGCATGATCTTGGCTCACTGCAACCTCCACTTTCCGGGCTCAAGAGATTCTCCTGCCTCAGCTTCCCGAGTAGCTGGGATTACAGGTGCACATCACCATAGCCCGGCTAAGAATTTGTTCCTTTTTACTACTGAGTGCTATTCTATGGTATGGCTGTATCATTATTTAATCATTTGCCTACTGAACGACAACCGGTTATTTCCAGTTTTTGACTATTATATAATCATAGCATTTTTTTTTATTAATAGCAGAAAGTAGAAACAACCCAAACATCTATCAACTGATAAACACAAAATATGATATTTTGTCATATAGTATTCCAGAAAGAATATTACATGGCAATCAAAGGAAATGGAGTACTGACACATGCTACAACATGGATGAGTCTTGTAACATTGTAAGGGAAAGATGCTAGTCACCAAGGACCACATATTGTATGATTCCATTTATAGGAAATGTTTAGAAGAGGCAAACCTATAGAGGCAGAAAACAGATTAGTGGCTGCCTAGCGCTGTGGGAAAATGATGAGCAGCTGCTAATGAGACTTCTTTTCGGAGTAATAAAAATGTTCTAAAATTATTGTGGTGATAGTTGTACAACTCTGACTATATTAAAAACCACTGAATTGTATACTTTATATGGGCAAATTGCATGGTATGTGAATATATCTCCATAAAACTGCTATTTAAAAAATCCATCCTGAGAAGCTACTGACCACCTTGCAAGCTTGGGGATGGGACTATCTTGTAGTCCTCACAATGGAAGAGAGCGCCATAAAAGGCGCTGAGTTACTTTACTATATCACAACTCCTTCAAAATCAATCTGGTTTGCATTATTTCTCAGCTGGGAATAGTAAAAACAATCTTTTGAAAAGAAGTTATTACTTATAAAAAATCTTTCCAAACTTAAAATTCTTGGCAGTTTGAACAGCTTTCTCTAGAATAAGCAAAGAGATGGCTGCACTTTCAAGTACCAGGCCTATTGTTCCACACTTAAAAGAATAATCAAAGATACGCCAAGACCTCAAAGCAGCATATTTGGTTAAAAAACAAAACAACAAATGCTACTTTAGTTTTTCTTGATGAAAGTTACTATGAAATTTTAAAGTTATTTGAAGTTCTAGAAAACA